AGGAAGAGTGGCCAGGGGGTTTTCACACGAGCCCATATGGGAATAATGCAAAAGAAAATGGAAACTACTAGAATAGTATATCAGGGGTCCCTTTAAAGGACTTACTGGCTCTTAGTAATGAATTATAAGTGAATGTCTCCCCTTTCAAATCCGTATGTAAGAGTAGGGAATGAGGAAGTATAACACAGACACAATCCCTATAGATTCCTTAGGAAGTCCTAAACCCTAAACCCTAAGCCCATTTTCCATATTCCTTACCAAGAACCCGTGAGGGTTCAAGTGAGGGGCTGAGGAGGGCATGTGACTCATCCCGAGGGCTTAGGGTTTATGACTTATGGCTTAAGGGTTTTGGATTTAGGGTTTAGGGTTTTGGATTTAGGGCTTAGGGTGTAGGGGTTAGGGCTCAGGGTGTAGGGTTGAAGGTTTTAGTTGTAGGGGTTAGGGTTTTGGGTTTAGGGGTTCGGGTTTTGGGTTTAAGAGTTAGGGTTTTGGGTTTTGGTTCCATGAGGCAAGATTCTATCCACAAGCGTAGCAGTCCAGGCAATGTCGTTGCCTCAGGGGCCAATACCAGAGCTCTTCTGTGCCATTATCAAATATGTATACACACATGTCATAATACACTAGTGAAATACCCGAACATCATCTTATTTGTTTTTTGACCTCACTAATCATCATCAACATTTTGGCCATCGTTGCTATTTTTGTATAGGGTAGTCTCTCTAAATAGAGGGACCCCAATATAGACCCCAATATACTACAGTCCTTATTGGGACCCCCTAAAAGGTACAATTTTGGGAAGCCCCCAAACCCTAAACCCTAAATAGTAGTTTCCATTTTCTTTTCCATTATCCCAATATACCCCCTATATAACCCCTATATCCCCAATATACCCATATCTTGCCCTGAAGGCCAGCACCAAAGATCCCTTCTACACGGGGAGCTGCGTCGCTGAAGCCTGCCCTGAAAACTCGGACGGCTTAGACCTGAGCAGCGGCTGCAAGTGCAACGCGGGCTACAGTGGCAAGATCACGGCCACTCAGGCTGGGGCAGCTATGGGTTTGGTTACAATAATAGTAGTAATACTATTAGTAATACTATTAGTAACAATAATAGTAATAGTAATCACAGTAATAAGGGTAATAATCGTGATTGATGATAGTAGCAACAACAGAAATGCACAGCTTCATGCAAAAAAAACGGCTCTTGCCAGGTGGCGCCCTACTTCTGTGGCACCTGCGAGCCTGTTGCCTGTCCAGACCTATCCGCTGGGCCTGATGTGCCCACAGGTTGCTCATGTAAGGATGGCGTAGGCTCAGTGACTCCCTCCAGCCAAGCGCCTTTCTATGCCGCGACCTGAGACATAACCTAAACAGCATTAATATACAACCCCAATATATACACTACAATATTATAGTAGTTTCCATTTGGTTTTCCATTATCCCTATGTAACCCCTATATAACACCTACATAGCCCTAAAGTCCCAAGGAGGTTCATGATATGTCTTGTGGCATGCTAGGACACACTCGGACAGCAGCAGTTCTTTGAGTCAGCATGAGTTTCAATGTCAGGTAAGCACCTGCGGTGCTACTGCCTGAGCAGCCAGCATGGGATCGGCAATGTGAGCACAGTGAACATCCCTGCGCTCGCTTCGTAGACTTATTGAGCGACGGCGTGTCATATCTGGAAAAGCCATTCGCAGTCATAAAGAGAACACGCTTCGCTCAGAGTGGTTGCGTTCAGCGAGAGCTCGCCATGTACCAAGCACCGCAAGATGTGGAAGACTTGTGCGTGGCGGCAGCAATCCATAGATGCAATGTGTGATTAGTTAATTCCCCGAGGACACTTTGCAGTGTCATGTGACTGCGGAGGATACCGCAACAAAAGGCGAGCATGTGGTGACTTGAAGCATCTTTATTGCTTGGCTCAATCTATTTCGGTTCCACTCTTAACGAAACAGGAAGCAAACAGGGTCAATCCTCAGGGTGTGTATTGCCTTCGGTGAGTGTCAACATCATGACGTACCAACCTGGCAGGTTGTCCATGCACACAGGTGAGCATGCTCTCTTGCAAGTGCTTACAGCCATTCCTGTCAGATCCGCACCAGGCAGTACAGGAAGGAGAGTTGAGTCGCTCAAAGCCTTGGCATATGTACTATAGCTCCCATTTTCTTTTCCATTATCCCTATAAAACCCCAATGTAACCCCATTATGGTAGTTCCCTATATATCACCTATATAACCCCAATATATGTCATCCTGAGCAATCAGACGACTCGCCCAGCTGCCTGCAGGTGTGTGCACTCCTCGCGGCGTGCTCGAAGTGAGGAACAAAACAAAGGATGGTGAGCTCAAGCGCTCTGCTGGGCCTGGCTTGTCTTCTGAAGTAGGGGTTATATAGGGTTATATGGGGATAATGGAAGATAAAATGGAAACTGTTACAATGGGGTATAGAGGGTATATTGGGATTATCTTCTGAAGTCGCAGCCCTCCTTCTGGGCTTGGTGTAGATTTGCAAGACGAACAAAGATGTCCAAAGGGTGCATGACACAACAGGGATCCTGCATGCACACGACTGCAATGCTCACATGTTTGTAGCCATATCGGCTTTGACTTTCAGCTCAAGGCAATGGTAAGCGCTCGGCATCACCCATGCATTCCATTGCCTCTCACCTCTAGCCGTTGACTGGTGTGCTCGACATGATACTTGCCCGAGGACTTCCTACCGTTCCTGGGATGATTGGCAACCCTTGCCTAGAAGACAAACTGAACAACCAACTGCCGCCCAGTGCCAAACCTGCAAGCAACTCCTACAGCACAGGCATCTACCCGAATCTACCCTCACTCAGTCTTTCAAGGGCTCTGGTTTGCTGAATCACCGCAGTACCTGCCATGGACCCCACGAAGTTCAGACGGGCCTAGCCAACAGTTTGGCTTCGTGGCTTCGTACTGCCCTCATGATGTTCGGCTCAACTGCACCACGTGGGATTGCAAGCGCTTCAAGATGCTTCAAGATAGCTTAGCTACTTCCCGCAGCAAACTCCAATGTAGCGTTATCAGGTCAGTGTCAGGTCTCGGACGCCCTATTGGCATCATAGACCTGCACATTTCACAAGCCAATCCTTCAGCCAGCTGGCTGGCTAGAGGGGTCCTAACAGGTGCAGGAGAGGTCCAAGTAGCTGCTGAATGCACGGCGGCCATGATGATCCTAAACCCTAAACCCTAAATAGTAGCTTCCATTTTCTTTTCGATTATCCCAATATAACCCCAATGAATCCCTAAACTCTAAACCCCCCTTCCCCCTTTGGGAATTACCAAGTGTGGGTTGAGCCTGAAGCTTTGGGGCCCTGATCCTTCCTTCTAGCAAGGTTATATAGGGTTATATGGGGATAATGGAAAATAAAATGGAAACCATTACAATGGGGTATATAGGGTATATTGGGATTATATATAAATCCTGAGGCCATGGGCTTGCATCATGAGGGCATCCTGGGTGTGGGGCTTGGACTGTCAGCCACGGAGTGTGCTAAAGCTTTGGCGAGTGCCTCGAAGAGGGGCTGTTTATTGCCAGCCTGATGTATTGGAGCAAGATTGCGTATGCACTTTTGGGTACGTTTTCGCCTGGATGGCCGTTGCTGCTGCCCTGGGCAACTTTGCTCCAAAACTAGGGTCGTAAAGAGTGATCGAAGGTATAATCGAAGGTATAACTAAGCTCCTTTCGGCGGAAAGCTTGGAGCCAGATCATGACAAGTCTCGCTTGGAACCACTAGGGTTGATTTGCAAAAAGCGATGGTTTGACACATCCTAGGGCAGGAGTAATGGAGGTCACAGGTCTTCAGCATCAGACAGGTGGCAAAAAATATGTCCCGCCGAAGATGTCGGACATTATCCGTGTGGATCTCAGCTCGCTGAGGGCATTTCCATTTCGTCGGGCGCGGCTGGGTGTATTTGGCGTGCATGCGGCAGCAAGAAGTGACAGCTACCTTGCACATAATATGGCTGTCCCCCAACAGACTGAAATTTTGGGCCTTTCAGCACAAAAAAAACCGAGCACATGAGAGCCCTAGTCTAAACTCCTTAAAGGGGGATATGTAGAGGATTATATAAGGGACTACAATAGGGGTTATTAAGGGGGATACTAGGAAGCCCCCTTTCATTTACAGGCGGCGACTGGCAAGAAGCCCGAGGTGACAGGACCCGTTCATTTTCAAAGTAGCTTCCATGTTCTTCTCCATTATCCCCATATGAGCTGTAGTCTAAGCTCCTTAAAGGGGAGTATATAGGGGATTACATAGGGGACTACTATAGGGGTTAATAAGGGGTATACTAGGAGTTTAGACTATAACCCCTATAACCCTAGATGCCCCTATATAACCCATTCTAGTAGTTTCCATTCTGTTGATGAACCAGACACGGAGTCATTCTCAAGCACTCTCAGAGACCTCTTTGCCAGGATTGTCCGCATCCAGGAAGTGGGTGACCGTCGCTGCCCCAGTGCCATGGGGCCATGATGCAAGTCTGCATACCCAGACCTCCCAAAGGATCCAAAAAATGGAACCCCCTAATAATCCCCTAGCTTCCCCAATGTAGTAATGGGTTCATATTCGGCGGGGGGGGGTCCATTTTTTTGGATCCTAAACCCTAATCCCTAAACTCTATATACCCCTATATAGACCCCTATAAACCCCTTTAAAGGGTACCATTTCTTTAAGGGGTCTGGGTAGTACCTTCCTCGAAGCGCCATGCGTTCCGCAACTGCACAAGGTCTCGAGATGGAGCATCAGCCACCCAGTGGGCCACCACTGGTGCGACCTGTATAGTAATAGTAATAAGAATAATAATAGCCATAGTAATAGTAAAAATAATAGTCATAGTAATAGTATTAATTATAGTAATAACAGTAGCATGAGCGTGTGGTTTTTACAAACGGGCGCAAGGGGGTTTCCCATCATTAGGGCTGCCTTATTGGGAGTCCCGATGATGAGGATGGTAGTACTTGGGGATCTATGCTGGTGTCCTCTTATTTCGGAAACTGCTACGAGTAGTCCTGCGAAGAAGCTTTCTGGTGCGCCTCTAGTCTACAGAAATGACATTTGTCGCAAAACCGGCAATGGTGCAACAGGTGCTTTCCCGGAACGACTCGACAGCAGCAGTTCTCATATCGTGGACGGCCTATGCTGCAGTCCCAGCTGCAAATCTTTTGGGGCGGGTGATTACAAGACATGCTGCTGGGCGATATCTTGAAGTTGTGCAGTGTGCAAAAGCGGCACGGGTGTTTATCAGTAAATGGAACATTACGTGTACATGGAATTCGATCAGAGGTGATGATAATAGTTGATGCTGCTATTCGTCACTACCTATACATCCCCATGTATCCCTACAGTAGCAAATATAGAATCCACACGTATCCCTGTGCCCCTACGATATCAATTTTGTCAGAGCGCAGGGCTCTCAGCCACTGGTGCGTAACAGCATGAGGTCAGAGAGCCCCTTGAATCAAGTGGTTCCAGGATCTAAACTCCGTAAAGCGGGTTATATAGGGGAGTACTATAGGGGTTCTTATGGGCGATGCTAGGGCTGAAATGATTCTAGGATCCCCTAATAGCTAATGTGGTTTAAGGGAAATTCATTGGGGGGCATTGGGCTCCCTTGATCTGGGGGTAAACAGGATGAGGTTAGCAAGTGACAGCTACGTGCCGGCTGCGTGTATCGATTGCTAGAGCAAGCAAGTGGTTTGAATAGGGGCGCCAATGCATTCTAATCCTTATCACAGGGACTCCAAAAATAATAATCCTTATTACAGGGCCCCCAATGCATTACAATCCTTACTACAGGGACTCCCAAAAGACTCCTAATGTGGGGAACACCTCCCCATGTCGAGCTTGTAGTTCTTTGTAGTTGCTGTAGCTTGAGAGGACCCTTGAATGGGCCCATTATAGGACATGACATGCTTCAGGAGCCTGGACGGAATGGCGCATTTGGCGAAGTAGCGTTCGACCTCGAGCTCGAAGGCACGGCCCTCTTGGTGCCTGATTAAAACGCGTCATTACACCCCTAGCAAATAGCATGCCTGTGGTCTAATTGGAGCACAAGGTGTTGTGGAGGGTAGAGTTTTGAGTGACCCTTGCTGCTATCTAAAGACTGGGTGATGGGACGCGCGACTTCAAGAGGTGGGATGCAATTAGGGTTTAGGGTTTGGCTCTCTGAGGAATGAAGAGCATTCCTTGTGCAAGGTACTGTAGCAGCTATCCCTGCCAAAAGCTCCATGACTCATCATGATACTTCTACACTCATCCTCATCGTATATATCCACTCAGGAGTTGTCAAACCCTCCCCCTAAACCCTGAACCCTATGCTACAGTAGTTTCAATTCTCTTTTCCACTATCCCTATATAACCCCAATATACTATAGTAGCTTCCATTTTCTTCTCCATTACCCCTGAACCCCAAACCCTGAGCCTTCAGCAGTGACCAGGTGAAAACCGGATCACCCTCAGACGAGTAGGAGACCGCGGTGGCCTCAACCAGCTGCAAACTAGGTTTAGGGTTCAGGGTTGGGGGTTTGGGGAGTAAGGTTTAGGGTTCAGGGCTGGAGGGTTG